ATTTATTTTAATAGTCATTTGGTCAACAAAATTATGCGCTTGAAGTGTTCGTAAGCAAAACGTTGGATTGGTCTAGGTAAGATCGACCAATCCGGAATAAGAACTGGACTAAATATCTCTTCAGTATCTTTATTCTGGCAAAGGGATGCGTAGCTTCAAGGTGGCATATTAAGAGGCTTTGATCAATGGACTATCCTTTCAACTTAGTCTTCAAGTTGTAGGTCATTGAGGAATCGCCTAGGGTCAACCATGGAAAATTTATTATTTGAACTTGTTTAAAAAATAAAGGTGTTCTCCACTTGTGTTGAAATTTACCAGCTTCAATTAACTCCGATATCTTTGAAAAGTTGTATTTTCGGAATTCAGACAATACCATAAATATTGAGAATGAGTGCTGCTTGATCCTCATAACCGCCCAGTCATGTGATCTTATAATATTGCGTTAACAATCTTATAAAGATTTTCACACAAGAACTTTACACACACATTCTCGTTCATCCATACATGGCGGGGTAATAATACCTCGGTAGTTATTGAAAAATGAAATTGACGTCAGAATCCAAAATTTAAAATTCGGTCAAATCTGGTAGTCTGCGAAACGCAGGATCAAGTAGGAGCACTTTAATGAAAAGCCTTGTTACTTGATTTCTACATTAAATATCAATATTATTTGATTTATATGCCCACAATAAGTCCTGATTCAAAAGTAAAATATATCTTTACAATTACTGGTTCCTTAGCTTTAAAGTTAATTAGCCAATTCTGCAGGTCGATTTGCTTAATTCCTCGTATTACCCATAAGCATCATCATTAACCTGTCTCGACCTATTCCTTCAAATTTTTTCTCAAGCTTCCAACCCACACAAGCAATCATGCGCATAAGCACCTGAATCCATAGCTATTAATCGCATCCTCCTGCTATCCCGTGGTCCGCTGGTCAATCTCAACCCCTTTCATCCGATTTGAGAAAGTTTGTCTTACCTGTTAGTCTAGCTCAGACGGACTATAAATGGGTTTAGTGCTACATTAGGCGTAAACATGTGTACATGACCTTTATCGATCAATTATCAGTGTTTCAAGACTAAAATGGTTACTCTTAGCTGTGGGTTTTCAATTTTTCCGCTCAAAATATAAGATAAAAAATTTTCACAACGGTCGAAGAATTATAAGGGCTTATAACTATTAACTCTAAAAGAATAAGGTTTGCTACTTGTAAACAATATTGGATTTTAAAGAAAGATATGAACATATTAAAGAATGAGATATAGTATTCGTTCAACATATATTTTATTTATCATTTAAAGTCATCTTCGTATTAATTTTATTGAAGTTAAAATTGTCAAACGATCAAACAGTATAAGAAAAACTACGCTCCTTCAATTAAGTGTTGGCAAAATTCCACATGTATGCCTAAGATATTGAGAAAAGAATAATTATAAAAATAGACAACATCGTTTATAGAAAGGATAAACAACTTATCTCATCTTGCATTTTATTGGTAGAAGTTGGCAACAGATCAAGCCGTTTTCACTCTCCCATGGTGTAAATTTGGATGAAAATCTACTCGGACATCTTCCAAAAAATTTTCGCTTGATTTTGATTTTTGATGCTACTGATTTTGAACAATGAATTTGACCAAACGAAAGCGGTCTGTAAATGTTAAAGTAAAAAAACGTTGAACATGAGGATACAACGCTTTCCATTTTGCATTTACTCAGATGAGATGAGAGAAAATTTTGAGAAGTTGAAAACAAAAGAGCTCTTTGTTCTAAGGACCTTCACGTTGTTGGTGACAACTACAGATGACGCCAGACCTCATGAGTGAAGATTAACATCCATAAATTCACAGATTTCATAAATCGATTCAAAGCTATTCGAGATTTAAATAAACCAAACTGCTTGAACGGACAAAGTTTAAAAGTTAATCTTCATAATTATGAAACATTTTGATGATATAAGAAGAGATTCACAGTTACCATACATTAAATCGGCTCGAGTTTTAATTTTTCTATCCTTAGGTTTCGTAATAGATCTCTTCTCTCCCAAATAGGATCGCATGCTATCGAACTGTATTTACCATAATCTTCACGAGATTTTGCAAGTTTCACTGTTTACTAAGATGTAAATTGATTGAGCAAATGATATCTATGGTACGATATTAAGAGTAATTTTCTATTCAAATGGGATTTAAATATCGGGGCAACCATTTTTCATCAGAAATTGTAGAAAACGAGATTGCGCAAACGATTTAGCCTCTGATCCAGACACTAGTACAATGTCGATGCATGTGGTGCATGTGACCTTGAATAGCTAGCAGCTGATGAGGGCTAAGTTATGCGCGTTTAGGCATAAATTCCTTAGATTTTCTCAAATATGCGCACTTAGAGAATTATCCATTTAAAAAGATAGATATTTTCGCGTTGAAATGACTGAAATAGTGCCTCCCAAATTTATTTTGAAAAGTATATGCGTTTATCGCATTATAATTGGCTGTTTTGTGCGCATGAACAGAAATAGTATTCTTGAATTCGATCCAAATACAGAGCATTAGTAAAACATACCACGAAGATCTGGAGAATTTCAAATGCTTACCACATTACTGCTTCAGTAAGAAAATTATTATTTCGAGTACAACGCTGATGATGAGATATTACAGAAGTACAAGGACTGATCAATGCATAAAAATCCTAATAGGAAAATCATGAACCCAAGTTCGTTTAATAAAATTTAAAATTCATTTAGACTTTAATATAAATGGCTCTTTCATAAACTCGTTCATTAAAAAGGCCTATTAATTATTTGAATTTCAAAATAAAGGACTATCTTTCCATAATCTTATAGTTCTGACGTTTTGAAACTATGAGGAAAAAAGTAATCATATATTTTTGAAATCATGCCTCCATTTACTGAACTTTAGCTTGCTATGCTCGAACCTCGTATAAATTTCGCGTACATGGCAATATTCGGGCAAGAGGAAATGCAGTTGTAAGGAATTAATTTAAGAAGGTAGAAGAATTTAGTCTATGGTGAGGGGGATGTTTGTTCTTCTTAAAACTCAGCATAGAAAAAAAGGTAGTCATTTTTTCTGCTTTCCCGTAAGTTAATTAAAATAAAGTTGCATTAGAATCAGTATCGATGTCGTTGATGAAATTCTCGGTTAATTAAGCAAACGGTACCATTTACTTCATTTTAAGCCTTAGTACAAGGTGAAATAAAGGCACATTTGCTTTAGACAACCAATCTTTCCTTTTTGCCGGCAAGAGATCAACTGTATTTCTCAAGTAAGCTTGTGATTATCCATTCCAAGCTTCAATTAGCAAACAGGAGGAGGAGAAGGAGGAAGAAGCTTTGTCGAGATTTGCGCAATTACTTACAAAAAACAATAATGGCCATTTCTTCAAGGAAATCGGAAATTCCTACATGATAAAGCGTTACAATTAATCTGGAACTATTTTGCAAATTAACGTCCTGCAATGAAAACAAATGCGCAAATAAGTTCCTAAATGGAACATTAGTAAAGCAAATTTTTAATTTGCTTCCAAGGAGAGTAATGTTTAAATGCATACATTGGTAGTCAAGTATATTTTATTCAACATTCGTTTGCAAGTGTTCTATTGGTTTGGGGGAATTGTTTTCATCATATTCTTTTCCAGTTGGTTTTTTCGTTCAGTTATTATTATCCTATGAACGGCCTATAACTTTAGTGTGCCATTGATTTCCATTCCTATTCAAAATGTAATATTTAGCTTTCAAGGTAAGACGACCGCTATTATACAATGCATAGGAGCAAAAGGATTTTGCTTTAACCATTAAATTTGGAAGTAGAATTTACACATGATACATATTGTTTGCTTAGCCTTCGAAGGCAAGTGGGTCTATGGGCACGGCCGGTTGTTTTGCAACACTTTTACACATAAAACCCAGATTAAGATTTAAACTCTAAGTGTAAACGGTTTGAATAAGTAAAAAGTTGCGAAAAACAACAAAGAAAGATGCAATCAGATGAAAATTTGACTGTGAATATTCGAGAAGCGTTAATACTCCACCAATTATCATAGCTATTTGATTTTAGTTAAAGTAATATATTTAATGAAATTATATTTATAAGAACAAGCAATTATTTAAAAAAACAGTAATTTATAATTTCAATAAAAGGTTGGTATTTTACAACCCCAAGGTGCTCAAAAGTGCATAATGGTTCATTAAGTGTTCAAGACTATTCAACGAAAAATCGATAGAAATAACTTTCACTTCTGCAAGAACTCTCAGTTTATACGTGGCCAATCAAATTCATATTAGGTGAAAAGATGAGAGATATAATACCTCCCAGGTAAAGGTAACCAATTGGGATTGGGGTAATCACGAAATATGAAATTATAAAAACAGGAGAACGCGTATCTTTGCTCATAAAGGCCCAAATCCAATATAGTCTCCTTGAGGACCCACCTCAGACCAAACTCAACTTCTCGACCATCCCATTATTTCAGTGGTTAAAGAGATACCAATCATAAACCCAGATCCGAAGAAATAGTGCTAGAACAAAACCTATATGTTTTACATGGTATCCCCATCTCTAAATGGGGTTTCCAACTAACAGACTCTGTTATTAAATGAGGTGAGAATAAATGATAAAAATACAGAGCGGCTTAATTAAATACAAAACTAAAGCATATGAGTGTGCATTAATGAAAAATTCCCGTTGCACTTATGAATGAACAATTCTTTGAGGGGATATTATTACTTTTCTGGCAATTTGAAGACAAAAAACATTAACGATCTCAAACTAGAACACATTTCTACTTCTCAATAATATTAGGGCTAAGTGTTTCAAGCAAATGTTTTTATGGGAAAAAAATTAGACAATCATAAAAATATAATGAAAACTAATCATGCAGTAGCAGTCAATTAAAAAAAATATAGACCAAGAAAATAGCCGAATAAAAAAATTAGTCTGAGAGGTTTTTCACAAATTCATTGTTATAAATGGTGCTAAAAGTAGCCTAAAACTATAGAAGATAAAGACAATAATAAAATTAAGGCCGCAACTAACCTCAGAAGAGGAGCTAGAATTCAATGAAGAAGAAGAAGAGGAAGTTCCACGTTCATATTCCTTTCTCTGGAGTTTCATAGCGAGTTTAATGGTTTTTTCTAATTCAGGATCACCATCCACCGCTTCAGCTAAAACATCCCATGGAATCTCCTCCTCTGTAGTAGTCATCAGTGTCGATTTGGCAGGTATTTCCTCTTCATCACTTGAAGACTCCGGAGATGAGTTAGAAGGTGATGAAGAAAGATTAGCTTCCAATGCGGCTAATTCAGGAAAAAGAATCTCAGTAGATACCAGTGAATTAGAAGAAAAGTTGTGTGGATTTGGATGGGCCTCAAAAAACTCCGCGATTAGTGAGAGAACGCGGTTAAGCATAAAATAGTCCTCGGTCTCAGGAAATCGTAGATACTGAAAATGCCACCCGACGATACGAATCCCCCTAAAATGTGAAGATTATCTGAACAATTTAAACTAACCTTCCAAGAAAATATGTTTTAAGATCATACTGCAAGCGTGTAAGACCTTGGGCTGGAGGATGGTAAGTGAAAGAACGCCATACATCAGGGGCACAAAATGAATTTAGCCAGCGTTTACATGTGAGAGCAGCATGTGCCCTGTCTCGCCATGATAAATACTCAAATATTTTGACAAGCACTAGCTTGGGCATAAATGCCCAGTTCCGATAACTGTCCCACTCTGTTAGATAGAAAAATATGCAAAAGTATATATATTGGGATCACAGTACAAAAAAATTAACAAATTTAAAGAAGGTGAAATCGGGTGATGAATTTGAGCTTTTACGTATTAATCATAAAAGCGTAAAAAATCAAGACATTGTTGCCCAACTCTTGTCAAAAAGAAATCCCGAGATAGACCACTAACCTGCTGCATCCATATAATATTTGGCCTTGAACAACTCGTAATAGACCTCTGCCAATTAACTTAAACTCGCATTGTTTAAAAAATTTAAATTATATATAAAAGTTATTTATTATTCAAAAAATTATATTACAGTACTGTGACCTTGAAAAGTTACTTTATCTTTTAGAAAATTGTTAAGTGTTCCCCAATTGGAAAGCAACCTCGAATAGCGTTCAGGAGTAACCAATCCCATGTCGCATTTGCATTAGGTCGTTTAGGAACGTGTTTGATTTGCCATATCTGCTTAAAGTTGAGGAATATTAAATTAGGGATATTTTTCTGAATTTTTTGTGGCTTTAAATGTTCGGCAAGCCGAAGACATTTTCTTCACCCTCCGATGCTCAAGCAAACGAAAAGTAATTATAATTTTACTCTTAAATTTTTTCGTTGATATAACGTGTATTTTTATTTTGTTGTATTAGCCTATTAGAGTTGATTGTTCTATTTATCTCTCACTGATCTTAGTTTAATTTTTACATATTTATTATGTTCTTTGATCTGTAATCCACTTCTTTTACTGTTTTTATTCAATTTTCGTTTTCTCCAGTAATTTTAGTTACCTTTATTTACCTGGGCCATTTTAATTCTAATTTACCAGGATTCAATATTTATGCATTAATGGGAAATTATATCGCCTAGTGTTTAATGTACGATTTTTTGTCTATCTCTGGTTTGGATTAAACTTGATGAATTTGCGGACAAAATTCTTTTCTGTTTATCTCGCCTTCATTTTCATGGATCTTTATATTTTACATGAGCAGTGATACTATAAACTCTTGTCGGTCTCTGTGGTTTTGTATAATAGCCTTATCTCTATTTTTTCAATCACTTATTTTGATTTTTTTTATTTTAGGTTAGCGTTTTACGTATATGAGTATTTGGTCTATTGCGGAGCTCAAAAAGCTGCTCAGATATTTCTTCAAGAGGTGAGTTTCGTTCTGCTAAAATCATTTTTTCTAAACCTGACTCCTTGCCGTTCTAGCTTCCTATCACTATTTTATACATTTGTGTGTATGCCTCCTACTTTCTTCCTTACGCATTAGGGTCAATTTGAGGACAGCACACGCGGTGACCGTGTTTGTACGTGTGCGCAAGCATTTTCGCGACCCTTATCAGTCTATGTGTGCTGCTGTTTCGAGCAAATTAAATCATTTTTCTCTTTTCGCTCCACACTAAACATCCATTCTTCCTCAATATATGCTCATTAACTTTAGGAATCCACAATGTTTAGGTACTTTTATGGGATTAAATAATAATATAAACACTTCAATTTCTCACATTCTTCGAAAAATTACTTATAGAATTCGATTAAATATAACATTTATTTATTTATATCAAGTGGTAGGCGTCTTGATAGTTATCATTACCCCTTTAGTTGACTTCAAACTTCACAGAGGGGAAGGAACATCAAATTGAAAAAAGTCGAGAGGGGGAACAGAAGAGTGTTTCAAAGATGTTAGAGACAAACACAATGGTGAGGTGAGTACTGTGAAAATAGTCGAATATGGCATAGAGTGAGGTGATGGTATTTTGAAGTGAGAAGTCAGCTGTCAGTCAATAGACTTTTTTGCAGTATGAACATACGTTGCCCAGGGTGCACCACGTGGAGGTAAGTCTATCGCACACCCCGGCAGTGGAATTATAACTGCTAATGGGCCACTGACACAGCTTAGTTATTCAAATGCAATTAGGGTTGCGATACGTTGCTGTGGTAATTAATTCCCGGTTGACTAAGAGGTCACTGCACTCACGGTGACACCTTGCAGACTGTTCGAGCGCACACGTGATTCTTTTTATCAGCCTTGTTAGCACTGTATGTTCCACACAAATATTGACGCTACCAAATCAATGAACAAGTTTATGACATAAAAATTTCCCAAGTGTAAATGGGCTGAAGGATTCAGTAAATTTGGTTAAATTGATATTCAAAATTACGAACACCAAGCAATTCTAAAGTGCCGTTAGCGTAAAAGTCATGGATGCGTTTTTGCTTTTTAGCAAAAAGAGACCTCCAAGCTTCTCTCAACCATATTGGAAGTGCAACCAAGAACAAGTGGAGATAAAAAGGGTCGGACCCATGATGATGTCGTTTTCGAGCTTGCTGGAAATCTTCTTGCACATCTCCCACCTCTGATACCAAAGGAGAAAGCGAAAGCTGATCTCTTCAACACAGATCGTAAAGGCCGAGTTAACTCACTCACAACAGTGCTTGTGCAAGAAGTTGATCGCTACAATAACCTACTTAATATCATTAAAGTAAATTTTTGAAGATGAACCACTTAAATAACTTCATTGGACTGCGAATATATAAGTGTGTGTGTTCTGTCTCTCCAGATTTCGTTGACCCAACTACAAAAAGCAGTCAAGGGCTTCCTGGTTATGTCTGAGAAGTTAGAGAAGATCTATAACTCCTTTTTGCTCAACTTAGTCCCAGAAGCCTGGGAGAATGCTGCTTATCCTAGCTTGAAACCTCTTGGCTCATGGATGAAGGACTTAGCTTTGAGGGTGCAGTTCATCACCCTTTGGTTGAAAAATGGTGCTCCAACCTCTTTCTGGATATCGGGTTTCTTCTTCCCACAAGGTTGACTGGCATATAATACTTTCTAATTTCTCACAAATAAGTTGTTGTTAACTTTGAATTCTGTTTTCATTTCAGGATTTCTGACGGGCGTCTTGCAGAACTATGCAAGGAAATACGACTTCCCGATTGATCATCTGTCATTTGATTTCACCGTTCTTCCAAACTTTCGTGATCAAGAGACTTATATTAGGCTTATGGATACCCTCAAGTACGAGGAAATTCATCCGGAAGATCGGACTATTGCAATACCAGAAGATGGTGTTTTGATCCATGGGCTCTTCATGGATGGATTTAGGTAAGGATTTACCTGTAATATTTGTAGGAAGTAAGGGTCATTTAGAATAGAAAAGACCAGAATAAGCAAGGAATTTTACCTTGTTTGAAGTCCGAATTCATAAGCATATTCACTTCGTTATTGAGTAGCAAAGTTTACTTCATCAATTTAAAGTTCAGATTTCAAGATTTCATTCTTTGTCTTCTGGGGATAGGGGAGGGGACGTTTGCAATGTTCAAAGTTTATTGACCAATTTTACCACCTCTGTATATTTACTGCTCCAAAAGTTTCCGAAATAATTTTCAATAAGTGCAATCAATCTTTCCCACCTTTAGATGGGATATAAACACAATGATGATCGCTGATTCCTTATCTGGAGTGACCATGGAACCCATGCCAATGATCCATATGAAACCGGAAATGGACTTTAAACCGGATACTGATCGTTATGTCGCGCCACTCTACAAAACATCAACAAGAGCTGGTGTACTATCAACTACCGGTTAGTGGATCGATTTTTTACCTCTTTTGATGGGTTTGAATACTATCTAGTTTTAACGCGCAACTTTATCGACTTTTGCAGGCATTTCAACGAATTTCATCACTGCTATTCCACTGCCAAGCTCTGAACCACAAGAGAGATGGATCAGCTATGGAGCTGCCTTACTCTGTGAGAACGTTTAACCGTCAATCTAAGAAAAGCGCAAAATGAGTCACCTCAATTTAATACGCACATTATAAGGACCAACTGTAAAATGACTTCTAAATAATGTTTTAATAGATGTTATCTCGTATCCAAAATAAACACTGAAACTTAATTTTTTTACTTTAATTCTAATTAATAGGGGGAAAAATAATACTGAGCTTGAGAGGTCCACTAAACTCAATGATTGATTTTGTGCATTTTATTAATCGTATCTTTAAATTTGATTACATTTTCGTTTTTTATCTGTACTATTTCATTCTGAATAGAAGCATTTAAGAGCCGTCTACCGTATGTTCATGTGTTACACCTGTGTAGCCTTGATTTCGGATGAAACACGAAAAGCTGGTGTTCGGTGAGAAAGGAATAATAAGTTTGGTTGTATGGTCAATTTCTTCCCTAAAAGTTAATTTTAGGTGTCGATAAATTTCCTAAGGCTCATAGACTTCACAAGCACTCGTATAGTAGTTAATGCTGGTTGCGTATCCTATTAAATCAGGATGTTAAGCGTCAATGACTTAGTTATCTCACTACATTGACAACCAGGAAATGTCTTTGTTATAGCAATTTTTTCAGACTCGGGCTTAAGTTCGACACAAAGGGTCATTGAAAATCATGGGCCTAACCATCACCCTATTGGTCATGTTTGCATTACATAATGGTATCTTATTGTGCAGGAATAAATATTACTCCACGTAAACGGCACTCGTGCCAATGAAGCAAATAAACAAACTCGGAATAGAATATATTGAAATCTATAATAAATCGATTGCTTAAATCCCTAGAGGGAGAACAAACAATCCGAATAATGTACAGAACGGAAAGAAACTATGTATTTGTTGAAATTTACGTAATTGAATTAACCATATTTCAAAGAAAGGGACGGAGAATGTGCACTGCGCTGCCACTCTTGTCACTCTTTATCGTTTACCTTCTAGATTCATGCGTGAATTGCGAGCCCCTCATCAGGAGCTCGTTAACGAATACACTTGTTTCCATGTCTAGTTGTGACACTCGATTTATTGGTATCATCTTACAGCTAATAGCAAGCGGATTAACAGAAGTACATTCAATATAGAACCTTATGGTAGCTCTCCCTCTAATGCAAATAGTTTGTTTAAATTTGGCTTTACATTTTCCCAAAGGTTTGTATAGGAACCCTAATTCTAAGTTAAGCTACTTTGAGGAAACAATAGCAAATCCAGAGTGAAAAGACCAAGAGCTAAGGTGACCTCATAGGAAAATTAATGAGAATGGAAAGAGGGAAACAGTAAGGAAAGGAATTAAGGACAAAAAGCGGAAACGCTAGCCCATTGTGAGAGAACAACTCACACCGTGACAGTGGGGCAGCTTTAATTGGGCTTTCGTCGCTGACTGTTGTGTCCTGTATGCGTCATCGCGTGACTGCAGAATTAGCGACCAATCAGAAATCACTTAGTGGTGGTTGGCTCTAGGACCGGAACAGAGACAGCGCGGGCCAATGAATTTTTCCGTGGGGG